CCGACACTTTTAATTAATGCTTTACGATAGGTTTAGACTACCGTTTCCTATATTTTTTGAATTTTTCACTTTTTTCGGATCCGGGATGATCAAAATTCCCTCTATTTGATTGGTCGATCATCACGTGCTGTTGCGCAAATAGATGCACTCATTAATTAGTGTGATAAAGAAAGCTAGATTTTTCTTTATTTATTATGCTTAATTTCCGTATTTTATTTTAGTTGTTATTCTTTCAATATTTTTATTTTTGTAGCTTCCTATAGTTGATAGATAGCTAAAAATATAGTCGCGAAACTTTAGTCTTAAGGCAAGCCATCGAAGAAGCCATCGTAGAAAAAATGATCCTAAGTAAAGTTGTAAATCAAGGTTCGATTTATCGATGGTTAAAATTGCACCCAATATACATGTTTTTGAGAAAACGATCATCAAATCAAAGTTGGCAATAGAGTCAATGGAGCTCAATGGTTACGCAAATGGTGTTAAAAAAATTAGTATCCATTGGCTCCATTGGCCCCATTGGCTCTATTCGCATCCATTGGACTCTATTGCCAACCCTGAGTAACGATCATCGTGTTTATGCAATTCACAAAGCCAAATTAATATAGCACAATGGTCCCAACAACCTAAAAGACAGTCTTAAGAGTTTAGACAATTCAAATTTAATGTAGTATTTAGACCTATAACCACTAGACAGTCTATTCTAAAATAATGTATTTAAAGAGCATCTTTTTTCTTTTGTAAAAGCAGCTTCTACTCTACAGAAAAAACAATAATCAATAAAGGCTAAATAAAGGTTAATAAAAATTTCTCTAATTTCGTGCATTAAATCCTTCCTTTTAAAAAATCTATCCTCGACTTCGTCATCTTTATTTATATAAATTATTATAAATATCATTATCTAATTGTTTAAATAAGTTATTCGAATATTTACTAATGATTAATTGTAGATGCGTTATTTAAGTTTATTGCATCTATTGTTATGATTCTAAAAGAACTTAACAACTACTATGGTCGCGTTTAGCTTGAATCATCATTATTAGTGGGTTAAACTTAAAGATCATAAGTGCTATTTTTTAATTTAAACTATATCAAATAATATTTCTATTTAAAATGTCAAATTTTGAACAATAATTAAAAAAATTTCTGTTACAAATACAAAATAACCATATATAACAGGTTGACAAACTTAACACAGAGTTGCAAGATTATACTATATTATATTATCAATATAATTTACTAGTATTATACACAGCTGACCAGATATAATACGTACGTACCAATAATTAATAATCTAAACTGCCAAAATTTTAATATATATTTGTATATGCATTTCCAAGAATTAAATTTATCTAAGTACTATTTATTTGGCATAAACAACTATGCCAACTATACTACATATTATTAGCTAATATACTGTAAGTATAAATATATAAACATGCCAATTCTCTAATATGCTATAGAGCACTATATTCAGTACCCCTAAAATAATATCTTCCAGATTAAGACCCGGATATATTTCAATACACCACATAAAATAAGTTAGGATGAATTATGCTTGTAATACTAGTACTGTAATGTACGAACCTCTGCATAAGGATTGGTTCAAAATACCTTTTGGATTGTACTGTTATTTTTACACAGTACCCTCTTATTACAAATCAAGTTAAATGTCATGTTTTTGATATATGCCCTTGGTATTAAATGCAGTGCTTTTATGGTAATAAATGCAACTAATCAAATTTTGTATTTATAAAATTTTAATATACTCAATAATTATGCTACTACGTATTATTATGCTATATGGTACTGTACAATCAAGGTTGTAAAATTAACGTAATTTTCTGGTAGGTTACCGGTAAGTTACCGGTAAGTCACTGGAAAATTACCTTAAGTTATTAATTTTATGGTAACTTACTGGTAAGTTACTACTAACAACCCTGGGCATAATTCAGTGTACCGCCAGTATAACCACAACCCTGCTGGTACAGAATTTTTTCATGCCATGTCATGATTTGTCTGACTTATTTTTGTTATAAAATTTTGATTACCATCTCACCTTAAAAAATAATATAAATAAAATTTTGATTCCATGTAACAAATTGTTAATAAAGCAATCTAATATAACTATCAAAAAAAATAATGTGGCAGATAAAAATGAAATTTGTATAATACAAAATAGATAAGCCATAAAAATTACAAAATTTTGAGCTTTTTTTAGGGTAGAGGCCAGCTTTAGGGTAGAATTTATAATAAACAAATATAAGTGGGTTTTATGAGGTTAAATAGAAACCCCAAATTTCATTTTAATCCGATTTCATTATGGTTTGCGATAAATAATAATTTTTTTATAATAAAGATTTTGATTTTAGAATTGTTTAGTTGGATTTGAACCAATAAATTTTTATATAAATACAATTCATCCTATTAAAACCGATAGCCGTCAAAAGTGATAAAAAAATCAACCCACCATGTTTGTTTTTGACATAATAATTAGACCTTTAAACATGATAACCTTTTTAAACCTTACAAAATCTGTCTACCATGCATATCAGTTTTGACAAGGTAGACTATGATAATAAAATGGCACCATGTTCACCATGTTTTATCTTACTAAATACAAGTAATACTTTGACTACATCAAATCAAACAACTAAATGTGATCCGGTTTTGTCATCTTAATATAAAGAAATGAATATCTAATTTAAACTATGAAATCATCGGCTTTTTGGTTATAAATTGATTTTCAATCTAAAAAAAATGAATACTGTAAATAAAATAAAATAAAAATAACATTAAGAAAATTTTGATTTATGATTTAATCAAAACAGTCTCAATACATCTGTCTAGATCACGTTGTTCTTTGCTTTCTAACACATGACAAACATTCCAAATGCAAGCATTTAAAAAAAAATAAATAACTGCACCTTTTTGGTGAGAATTTTCCGTGACAAATTATTCCGCTAATAGTTCGACTTGTCTACTATACATAGTTTCATAAATAATTATTTCAACATTTTAGTCATATAGGGCCCTAAAATAGAAAATATATGTACGCATATATAATTTTAATATTAACATCAATTTAGCCATTTCTCCAGATCAATACCGTTCCACTCACCTTCTAATCGATATCCCAATTTCTCATAATACCCTCTAACTCCAACACCACTAATAACAGCAATTTTTACACTTCCATGTTCTTCCAAAGCAATTCGTTCCGCCTCTTCCATCAGCAAAGTTCCATACCCTTGATGCTGAAACTTCATAGGATCTCTATTATGCATTGGTACTACGCTTCCATAAACATGCAATTCTCTTATGATTGAAGTTGGATGTTCAATAAGTTCGGGTCGAAACGCACTATGTGGAGAATTAGTGGTACATTTTCGAAGTCGTAATAAACCTATTAGAATATCTTGTTTTGGATCTTCGTAAGATAAAAATGTTTCCCAACCACCGTTTGCTACGTAATCGCGTCTTATCAATTCAACCTTTTTAATGTTGAAATTAAGTTAATAATAGTCTTAGATTCAAAAATATTAAAAAAAATTAATTAGTATGTTAAATAACCTCTTCAGGTTTAACTTTATTATGAATATCTTGAATTCCAACTTCTCGGGTTCTGACATCTCTACATTCGATACCTAAATCTTTCATTCTATTTAACGCCAACTCACGTAAATTACCATGCTCGACTCCTGATGTAACTAGGGGCATTGGAATATCTCTTTTCATTTATGTTCCATAGATTGGTAAGTCACTATCAAATCTACATAAACTGCATGGTAATATATCTTAGACTCACCTTTGTACTCTGTAAATTCTAGTCCAAGGAGGAACAAGAGCTAGAATTCTTGCAATCAGATCAACCAACGCGTTAGGCGTATAATTTTTATAACGACCTGTTCTCCATAATTCGTAAAGTCCTATAGAATCGAAAAAAAGCTTTTAAATTAAAGATAAATGAAATAAATTTATTAATCATCGCGAATGAAGCTGGAAAGACTGAAGTTGGAAATTAGCCTCATCTCAATATAAGTTTCTAAAATTTTTTAGAATACATTTTTGTTTCTTTATAGTTAGACTAGTCAGTTAGGTTTAGTTAGGATTTAGAGTTAATGATGAAAGAATACATATGGATTTAGTAGGGTTCACATTGTTAAATAGAGACCCTGAACTACAGCTTCAACCGTTTCCATCTTCAGTGCGACATTAATTACATGTTCTTTATTACCAGTTCCACGAATAACCAAAGTTGGATAAATTTTCAGTCCATCGGTTCGAAAAGCAGGGTTTTCAAAATATTCCTATATAATAAGTATATAAACAATTAATCATTTTTATATATAAAATGGGAATCATATATAGTAAAATGTAAATTCAAATGTACCTTAAACTGATCTAAATCTCTTTCCATACCAACATTAGGCAAATCCGGCATCATATGAGAGACAACCTTAAATCCTGTATCTTTTGCTAATTGAAAAGTTTCAGTTACGGCTTTAACCGTATGACCACGATTTGTATCTCTTGCTACATCTTCGTATACACTTTGCACGCCTATTTCTAAGCGAGTACATCCATACTGCAACATTTGACTTTTTAAGTAAAAGGAATAAACATGAGTTGAGAACATAGATAATTGTAATATTGGTTAGATATCATGTAAATCATTAATACCTCAAATGTGGTTTTAAACAGTAATCAGGACGTGTTTCAATAGTAATTCCAATACATTTTGTCATACTTTGTTCCGAATATCTATAATAGGATAATTTTCTTGTTTATATTCAGTTTATATTTTTAGAATAAAATGACATGCTTTATACCTTACAGCTTCATCAACATCATTAGTTGTATGACCAGATAAAGCATTATGTAAATTGGCAATAAACCAATTTCTATAATCTTCAGGCAGTGACATAAATGTACCACCCATAATAATATATTCAACCTTGTTGGTATTAAAAAAATATATATAGCGTCATAATGTTATATTGCGCAAATAATAATCATATTAAATAACAATTTGTTGATAAATACTTTATCAACACTGTGACCCAAGCTTTTCAATTGATCAACACGGCCTCTGGCTTGTTCTAGAGGGTCATATCTTGCTCTAATAGCTCTCATACTTGTTGGTTCATAACCAGTATATGATTGTGTTGAATATTCAAAATCTGAATCTGGACCACCTGGACAATATCTACATATTTTTACCAAGAAGGGAAATTAAAAAATTGAAATTATGAAGTTTGCCTATATGATTACAAATTTGCTTACACACAAACATTTCCTGTAACTGCAATATGAGGACATCGATGTGGTTTACACATAACAGCTACCACAGCAATCTATTTATAAAAAGAAAAAATATTAATTTCTTATTTTTACTCTTTGCTACTTAAGATCCAATTTATTAATACACAGTTTTTGCGCAAAATCTCTATCTTAAAACGTACACCACTAGCAGTCCTAATAGGCTTAGCTTTTAACTTTCCCATCAAAGCATTTTTATATTGTTCAGGTATAGCTGCAATAATGTCAACCAATTTAGGCTGATTTGATAATTTATTAAGTCTCGAATATTTTGTTTTCAATCCATTCAGATTAACATCTTTGTTTTGTTCGTGAGCTGTTATTAATTCATTTACTATTTCAGAACACGCTTTTAACATCAATTCTGCCTATTATTTTTCATTCGGATTCATTTGTGAGGAAAGAATTTGTTCATTGAGAATATTAACATAATAGGAGAAAGCAAATAGAATAAGAATGGTTTTTGTCAAACCTGCGTTGGACCTAGGTGGATAAAATCAAAAGATCGACATTTAAATAAAATTTTAGAAGAAAAAAAAAAATTAGAAAAACCTACCTTTCTTTTGTTTAGTCGTCATCTTCGGTGGAAGATTATTTGATTTTTTGTAAGCGTAGTTGAAGTTCACTTATTTTTATTTGGGCGTAAATCTACATTACACAAGAATTATAGAGTTTGGAGCCGGTTTTATTTTTATATGTTAAAACCGGTTTTAATCGGTTTTAACATATGAAAAATAAAACCGGTTCCAAATTTCTTGTCGATCGATGTCGATCAATCTAGGCCAAAATTTGACACACGTGACAGTGGGGTGTTCGATGTACTATATAAATCAAAACCATGTATAGTCATATAGTAAAGTTTATTAATGAATTTTTAGATAACATAGTAATTAAATGTCATAATTATTAAAATTTTAAATAGATGCACATCCCTAACTGTTTGATAGTTTCGACTGAAATTTTACCGAGGCCAGCATTATGTCTCTACAAGCAAAGCTATAGAGCTA